ATTAGGAGTTCCTCCAAAAGTTTCTCGGTCTTTCGGCGTGGGAAACATTATGCTGATACGCCGAACGTCTTTCCAAACCGCACCAGCATATTCTCTCTCCCCCTGACGGCCAAGTGCCAGCTTGGCCAGGTTCCAGTCGACATCTCCGTCACGGCTCTCGAATCGTCGGGCTACGAGGTTCAGTGTGCCCCTCTTTTGTTCCATGGCGGCTATCGTGCACGATGCTCCATCATTTCCCGACCTCCGACAGTTACATCGGTCGGGATTGACTTCAGTGTCTTCGTCAATGTCGACCGTCACCAGCGCAAGCCTCTTGGTCTTGCGGTTTTGGGTAAAGAGGACGATCATCGGCTTCGGTGGTCGCCTGTGAACAGTTCCAGTCGTGTGCCCGCCAATACTTACGGTAACGGTATGCGTCTCGCTATTGCCTGAGCTGTTGTTCGATGGCGAGGTCGTAGTTGAAACATTGCTTGACACGCTGAAAGTTCGGTCTTGCCGGCTATTCACTGTCGAAACTGACGGTGCGATCGCGGAAGACCATGATCTAGGAAAGAAGCTGGAGGAAGGCGGGCTCGATGGCGATGTTGCTGACGGTGCCGTCGGGCTTGCAGTCGGTCTCCTCGAGTTGGATCCGCCTCCAACTGGGCGGCGTGGTATAGATATAGGTGGCCGACCACCAAAGGGGCTCATGCCGTTGACTGGTGAAAGTCTCGGTGGGCTTCTTGACAGTGATGGGGCTGCGAGCCCAGACGTATTCCACATGGAAACTGTTTCCGTAGGGCTCGTGGTAAACACGTTCGAGGAGCTGAACATGCTTCGCATGGTACTCTGTCTCGATGTCGCATCATGGGCAGTAGACGACATCGAACCTGATCTCGCGTTTTCCTTCACCGTTGCCTCATTGTTGGTCACCAGCTGGCCATCAAGCTGCTTTGGAATCCAAAACTGGACACAGGCGTCTTCGACTAGCGGTTCATCTCTACCGGAGACGACAAAGCTGACCATGGTATTGTACTGGCAGTAGTTGTCAAAGGCCTTGAATCCCGTAACTGCCTGCTGAAACTTGATGATATCTTTGCGTCCCATGAAGGATAGCCTCGCGATCCGTTCGTCTTTGCGAAGAATCATCTCCAGTACGCCAGAACTAGATGGGTTTGCATACAGCGGGTTGAGGATGACGGATGTGATATCGAAGTCAATCGTCTCGGCTGCAACTGTAAGCGATTATCCTGGTCTACTCAGCCAGGCTTACATACCTTGACGGCGTGCGCTCCTTACTGCTCCCTGCTCCACGCCAGTGATATTGATCCTGAATCGTCTCCCGTCTGCGCCCATTCTGCGTAGAAGCTGAAGTCGTCTCTGGACATTGGCACCGGAACCTTGGAGTGGACTTTCCATCAAGTCAGTTAGATTCCAGAATGAGTGCCACGTATGGTTCAGGCCTTACATGTCAAGGACTTGTTCCATCAGGGCATCCTTCGTCACCACATCGACAAGCTGAGGCAGTTCCTTCTCAGGCCAGATATCGAGCATGTCAGACGTCAGTCCCGCAAGGCTTGGCTTGACCAAATCTTGTTTGAACCGGCCGCATTGCGTTGAAAGGCACTGCGTCTGTTAGTACCTCCTACCAACAGTCTTGGGATTTCTCAACTCACGTCCTCGAGTTCTTGGACATATGATGGCCAATGCGACACCCCAGGGACGGCCTGTTTGAGCTCAGGCGACTCGTCAATCCGCTCCTTCAACCATACGCACTTCAAAAGGCTCAGGTACTGTTCCAGGCGTGGGATCTTGTTCTCAACCAGAATACCAGCAGGTGTGAAGTTAACGGTAGAGCGATCGAAATGAACGACGAAGGCGTCCGTGATCTCTTTCAGACCGGGGGCCGGCTCGTCTGGGGACCGACTTTCCCAAGCCTTGAGCAGCCCATCTTTCACCAATAGTGGGATGTCAAGACTTTGCTCCTGTTGCTGGGCTTGCTGATCTAGAGCCACCTGCAGGTCCGGAACCAGGACCCCAATCAGGCGGTGCAAATCCCCATGAACAGCTGAGATGCGATCAACAAGATCATGGTGAACCCTGTGTATGTCTTCTCTGACACGACACAGCAGATCGCTGGATTCGTCAGTGTCTTCAAATGTCAGAAGGGAACAGGCGAAGCTCACATTTCGAACGGCTTCAGGACGTGAAGAACCTTGGAGTTATGTAGGGCGATTCTTGCCCGTAGGCGGTCCGCGGCTGGCGCAACCAACACATTCCACTCGATATTTCGGAGAGGACCACTATTCAGGCGATAACGATTGTTGTTGTCGATCAACTCGATGCATTCTCTGAGGGTCCCCTGATAGTCTCCGATAATCTCTCCCAGGGATGACGGGTCCCATCGCAGTGACTTGTACGACACATCTCTGCGGAGAGACTGCTCTGCCTGGCTCACCACTCGGGTGAGAATATCGAGGCTCTCAGCCAGTCCCCTGACGTCGCGGCCGAACTCCTCATATTGCTTGGCTGAGATGCCGTTAGCTTGTGTCGCCGTCTGCAGTTTTGGAATTCTTAGAGCCTCAAGTCAGCCCTACGGCCACGCTTGCCGGGCGGAGGGCTGAGATGGCGCTCTCAATCAAATGAAGCACAGGCCGATCAGCCATTAGTAGGCTTATTCTGAGGTTGATGTACCCGAAACAATCCTGACGAATGGCGAACATACAGATACGGACAAGAGCAGGAAATGCGCGAAAGAGCATCGACGGAAAATGGATCGAGGAACATACTTGCGTTGTAGTCGTTGTCCCATCCAAATCTGTAGACGTCCCAACAAACTTTACTCAGATTAACAATGTCCCCGATCTGAAGAGGCCCTGCCATTGGGGGAGAATCAGGAAAGAGATGATGAAATCAGTCTGTTTAACACGCCTTATTGAGATTGGCATTTGACGTGCGATGTTGTCAACAGGGCGTGAGCAAAGTTGAAAGCGACGACAAATAGAAACCTCAAAAGTGGACTCCGCGTCAACGGTCGCAAAGCAGATCGGGAGACAACGTGGGATTTTGAATGACAGCCTGGCCCCAGGGCGGGAGCACACGACCAGACCTCGAGGGGCGCCACCGGTTCGCTGGGACTATGCGACAAAACGGTGGGTGTGGCCGCCACGAGGGACACAATGTTGGCAGTTTGCGACCAGGACTTGGTTCTCGGAACTGGACGAGGGGGTAAGAACTCTGGCTGGGTCACCGAATGAGATGGGAGGGGGGGGAAAGGAACGAGATGAGAGTGAGGCTGAGGGATTGGGTCATCTTGTTTGCTTGCCCACTTGGACGGAACTCGAGTGTGTCTGGCGGGCTGGACAGTTCGAATTTGATACCGAGAGACGGAATGGTGTGGGAAGCAATGCAGGCAGCAGCAGGGGAACGAGACATCTCATGCTGGCTGGCTGCGTCTCCTTCAGCGACCTATCACGCCCGGCTTGGCTTGCTTGATTGCAAACTTGGTGGGAGGTCAAGCGGCAGAGGGCACCATTCTGAGCGGTCCCCGGTAGTGAGCGCCAGGTTTAGAGGTTGTCTTCCTGGCTTGGCAAGCCGAGGTTCTCTGCCTTTGCGAAGAGGGTGGTTTTGGGGACTTCATGAGTTTCGCCCGAGAACATGTTGAGTTGGTTGAAGCTGTAAATGCGCTCAAAGTCCAGCTTGAGCGAACCATGTTGCCAGCGCAGCTTTGGGCGCCTGCTCATAAGGCAGCCAGGGATGAAGACAAGCGTTCTCTTAGCGCTCAATCAGTGAAGGGTAGCTGGTAGATTGTCACGCGGTCTCAGTTACCCGAGACACCCTTACGAAGGCATCCAATCCAATCTGACCTGCGTTGATAGCTTGTCACCCTCCTTTCCCGTGGCATGCGAGTGTGCGGCGTAAGATTGCTAGCTTGAGATAAGGTACAGAGACAGGATGAGTTTGTGTACCTAATGTTCAGGACGAATTGACGCGATATAGGGCTATTTGCTTTAACTCAATATGTACAAGGGTTGCAAACTTGCCTTCCACGGGCTAAGTCTTCTTGTATGCAAATGTTCACGAATGACAACTTCGGATAAAGTGATTATAAGTAGATGTTAAAACAGATGAACAATAGCGTAAACCGAACGAATTGTAGACGGCAACATGATGGCAATGAACAGAACACAGAGCGGGGACAAGCGCTTCGCAAGCTGTGTTGATACATATGTCTTCTTAGAAGCAGCGCATACAAGGTTGTATCTGCATATTGCCAAGGGTTCGCCGATCTGCACTCAACTCGGTCACGAAAGAGCTGGTGGCGGTGGCAGTGAGCTGCCAGAGCTCTCCCCTCAATTCCGCTCTCACGCTCCAACCTGGGGTAGGATACGGACGAGGTGTCACCACCAGTCTACCGGTGCTTCTTCCTATTCGCGCTCGCTTCGGCAGGCCTATCAACTTCTCGTTCACTGAGACCCTGCCAGACCATCAACAGATCGAGCTCAGCTCTGCATCTGCTTACCGAAACTAGAGCCTCGGTAGCGCGGTTTGAATCCCAAAAAGCGCGCAAACAGGTTCCCGCACCAAGCGCACCTAGACTGCCCTTTTCCCATGCAGCATAATCGGGCAATTTTCACTCCGCGAGGCAGATTTCAAGACGAGGCTGCCGGGGACTGAGTGACTCTTTGAACGCCATTCCTGATGTAGCGGCTTTCCTGGGCATGCATGCATGCGGCTGCCACATCCTTGGCCGAGTCTGCCCTGCCTTCAGTGCCATTCTGCTTGCTCTTGGTGCGCGACCCAGCCATCGAGCTGCTCCCTGGTCACGCCTGACCTGCATGCCAGCTCGTCACACAGGCTTTTGTAGATAGAGATAGACCATACTTAACATCGGAGCCACCCCTTGTAGCCTGCTTTGCCATGTACCATTATGGCGCAGACCTCGAGACTCCCCCATCTTGGAGCTGCTGCGAGTCTCCGATATCTCTGAGTCGCCTTGTTGGCTTGCCAGACTCCCGAAGATGAATGACTTCCAAAGCTCAGAGGGCATCTTCCAGGAGCCTCGTCACATCGACGACAACTCGAGCGAAGATGATGCTGCTGGGGTAATAACGGGTATCACTGGCGGGGATGGTCAAGGCATCGTCACCCACGCACCCAAGGAAGGATTTCGCCTTGGATACCTTGATGTATGCTGTCTGGTCATCAACCGCATGATAGGTGCGTCAAACTGTCTCTGTCGCTTAGGGGGCATCTGTTAATGCCGTAATACAGGCACGGGAATATTCATGTCTCCGAAAAGAGTCATGAAAGGTACTGGAAGTGTCGGCGCGACGTTATTGTTCTGGCTAGCTGGTGTGGTCTACTGCCTTTGCGGTACCCACGTCTACATCGAGTATGGCCTCAACGTCCCTCGTTATAGAGTTCAAGGAGTTGAGCAGTCCATCCCTCGAAGCGGTAAGAATAATTGCAGCTTCAGGCCTAGCATCAATGCTGACCGATCTCCGTAGGCGGAGACATGGTGTACCTGCAGTATGTCTTCTCGAAGCCCGCCTATCGCAAAAACACCATCCTACTGTCGACTTGCATCTTTGGCATCACGTTCATCGTACTCGGAAACATGGCCGGCAACAGTCTTCACTTCGCCTTTCGAGTCCTTGAGGCCGCTGGTCACTCAGATCCTGAGAACGGCCCCGTCAGGGGCATCGCTCTCGCCGTTGCCGTCTTCGCCTGCTTCATCCATGCCACAAGCAGAAGATTCGGAATCATGCTGAACAACTTCCTGGCGGTAATCAAGATCATGATCATGCTACTGATCATCGTCGCGGCCATCGTGGTTGGTGCGGGCGGGCTTCCCAAAACACAAAACGTCATCGAGCAAAATACGTCGCCAAAGACTTCGTTCGCGGGCGCAACTAAAGACGCGAACGGATACGCTCAGGCATTCCTTGCCATCATTTTCACATTTTCGGGATTCGAGCAGCCAAACTATGTCCTAGGAGAAATCAGCCGTCCTCGAAAGAAGTTTCCTATCGGGATGGCGAGTGGTGTAGGACTCGTTGCTGTTTTATACCTGGCTGTCAACATCTGCTATGTAAGTGCCTCCAAACAATATAGCTTCTAGCAGTGACTTACAGAAAATCAGATGGTCGTTGTGCCTGCCGATGTTCAGAAGAATGAGGCCAATGTTGCCCAAGAGTTCTTCAGGCTCACCTTCGGCCAATTGAACCCAGACAGCGATATTGGGTCGCGGATCTTCAATGCTTTCCTGGCGATCTCTTCCATGGGCAATATCATCGTCATGGTATGTCATGGCTAAAGAACTGAAAACCACCACTGTGGGAACTGACATCATACCAGACCTATACGGCAGCTAGAGTGAAGCAAGAGATTGCGAAAGAGGTGAGAAGATTTCCTCCACACAGATGACGCCTGTGTCCTGCATTGTCACAATCATCTGAATAGTTCAGGCTCTTCACATGGAGTCTTTTCTGCCCCTTGGTTGTTTTTTGGTCACTCTGCTCACCCCCTTTTTTGTATCCGAAACCTGGACAAGGCACTGACTGTCCATACAGGGAATCCTTCCTTTCCCGAAGTTCTTCGCGCAAAACAAGGACATGAGCCTTGGGAGACTCTTGTTTTGGTTTCAAAGGAAAGGATGGTTCAAATCACTCCTTAAACTCCGTTGGATGTCGCCGGAGCATCATTCTGAAAAGACACCAGTTGGTGCTTTGGTTCTTCACCTCGTCAGCTGCGTCATCCTCATATTTGCCACCTACGGCAGGCCACCTGTAGTGGCATACACAGCACTCACGTCTCTAAGTGCTTATGTTGTCAACGCATTCATCGGAACATTCCTGGGTCTCGGCATTCTCATCCTACGCTTCCGCGGCCCTCCTACGACAGCTACTGACGATGATGCCACCGACGATGACCCATCTAAGTCCCCGACAACTTGGGCTGAGATGACTGGCAAGAAGTTCCGTCCCTTTTTATCAGTCTTCTGTGCCATTGTATACATGTGTGGAGGTCTCTATCCCGTGATCACCAACTGGGTACCGCCGTCACAGTACTCCGACCTGACCGTGACGCCATGGTGGCTTGTGCCCACCGTTGGGTGGATAATCATCAGTCTTGGCGTTGCCTGGTTCATCGGCTTCATCTTGGTGGCCCGTTACATTGAGAAGAAAGATCACCGTGTCTTTGTGGTAGAGAAGAAGCCGGAGTTCGAGGCAGCTGATGGCAGCAGCCGGAGCTCCGAAGCTGGCCATACAGGGGCCGATCTAATACAAGTCCACGAAACGGTTTACCTCAGCTGGGTTGGAAAAGAGGCTCTTCGACAAAGGCGGCCGGTCTTTGACGACTCGAAAGAAGCTGAAGGTCATGTCAATGAGGTGCCGGCGTCTCCATACGTCAACACGGACTTTGCCGCATACATGTCAAGTCAGGGTACTGAAACAGGAAGGACATATTCGAGATACTAAAAGAAGCACTGGTGTATTACCCGGCTGTTTACCGACTTTGGGCGATCAGGGCGTTCATAGGGCACGGTTCTTGCTTGACTTGCCTGGGGGAACCTATTATGATCATGAATATTTTACTGTTTTATTACTCGTGTACGTAGTGGTATCTGGGCGGACATTAAATGCAAAGCCTATCCCGCGTCGTGACCTTCCTATCTCATAACACCCATTAAATGATCATGGCTCTTGCTCGACAATGTTGTTGAGACGTGGCCCAAGTTGTGCAAGGGCTGAACGATCTTGTCCGTCAGGCTCGTAAGATCGGAACACCTCTCCACGCATGAGTCTGCGCGGTGCTCGCCTCCCTGTAAAGAGCTCGAACTGGGCGAAGCCCTGCTCCGGAAGTAGGTCCAGACCGTCCATAGTGACCCAACCCCGGTGAGAGACCTGGCGCGCTTGGTTGAGTATTGGGGTATCAAGCGTCTTGTATCCCAACTCAACGAGACAGCCACCGGTTGGACTGCTGAGCCAGGCTTGTGGCGCCACGAAGTTGGGAGCTGGGACGTCGCCGATGCTGTGCGTTGGGATACAGGAGACGATCATGGTCGGCGGCCGAAAGTCTTCCGGCCACGCCTCGTCCAGGGTCCTAATGATATGGAATCTTGTTTCCGCGTCCGTGTTTGCGCTCAAGAGCGGTAGGTCGTGTCTCTTTAATAGTCTCGTGAAGTGATTGACCATCTTTTCCGCGTTCGAGACGGTGCGGTTGTACACCACGATGTTCTTCACGCCAAGTTGCAACATGCTGTAAGTTGCAGCACGAGCCATACCGCCTGCGCCGATAATGAGACCGCAACTTGTCGGACGCACCGCATTGGCAGGCGAAAGTCCTCTCCTCAGGCAAGCCCGGATACCGATCCAATCTGTGTTCTCTCCGTAAAGTGCGCGTACCGGCCCAGCTCGATTTCTGCAGTTGAAGAGTTTTTCATCTTCTGGAATGGTGCCGTCGGGGTTCAGTCGACGAACAGGCACGAGAGTGTTTACTGCGCCGATGGCCTGGGCGTGTCGACTCAGCGAATGGGTGAGAGTGATGATTTCTACTTTGAACGGCAAGCCCACACTGGCGCCAGCGAAGTAGGGATCTTCGATGAGGTCTTTGAGGCCATTCAGTGATGGTGTGGAGAAGGGGCGGTAGACATGTGGGATGCCACATGCCTTGAGGGCGGCATTATGCATGGCTGGCGACAAACTGTAGGAGACATGGGCACCGAAGACGTAAATCTTCATGGGGTCGAATAGGAATGAGTTGTACAGCGCTTGCGTTGCCTGTACAGCCGTCAAACAAGGCTGATCGGGGCTGTACTTTGACGCCATTGCTTCTGGCACGACGCTCGTGAGGACATGGTTCATGGCAGCCGAATGCCTGCCACGAGGGCCGGAGTTGTAGGCAATGAGAGGGATCTTGTGGCCAGTCGTGGCGTCGACCAGAGCCTTGAGATGATTCACATCAAAGTTGTCCTTGATCGAGGTGACAGGCTTGATAAGTCGGACAAGATCGCAGCCTATTCGGCGGGCTCTGTGGTAATGAGACATCCAGAACGGATCTGCCCATGAGGGAGAGTCGACGGCAGGAGTTAGGTGACCAATGATCTTTGACCGCCTCTTCATTGAGATGATGTGTAGTAATTGGTAATCGTTCAAGCGTAAGTCGACGGTGAGGTATTCAGGTGTAAGTCGGAGACCATGTAAGATGTAGTCCATGTACACCGATTCTGTTGTGTCCGGGAGAACGACATGGTAGATGAGCGGAATGACGGTGCTCCTTCTGATCGACCCAATGATCCTTGCAATATCTGCAGCTCGTTCAGAATCCAGCGCCGTGGCACCCGCGAGGCCATCGACGACGATCTCGATGGCGTCAGCACCTGTTTCCAGCTCCTCGACGGTGATCTCATTGTTGAGAAGGCTCGATAATGACACTGAAATAGCATAGGTGAACCGACGGTCTTCAGTCGGAATAGACGCCAAGGGGAAGGCAGATTCGATGAAGGGGATAGAGCCTTTGGGCATGATCAAACTGAGGAATTTGAGGAAGTGCCTCTCCGCCCGCTTCAGGGTAAGATACGGTGCGGGTGGCTTCTGACCGCCAGCGTGAGCTTCTATCCTCGCCGCATCAGTCTCGGCCGCAGGATCTGCCGTCTCAGAGACATTGAAGAACTCGAGATTGCTGCAAGTCCGGAAAATGGTACTGCTCGCGGCAAGAAGATTCCTTGCCTTGTCTTCGTCTTCGATCTTGAGGTGTTCTTGAATGGCCTTGACATCGCGAACGATGTGGACGACAGGGTGTGTACGGCAAAAGTCTCGTAGCAGAGTCTGCACAGAGCGCTCCATCCAGCTGCAGACAATCAAGCAGCCTTTTGAGTTCTGGTCGAGGAGGTCGCGGAGAACGTCCGTCTGTCGACGGTGACATTCTGCGGGGCCATGGGCCCGTTTATATGCGAAGCTGGTCAGGCCGGTGACCTGTTGGAAGGCCTTCTCGCAGTCGAGGGCCCTCCGCGCCATGGCCGTCGAGGCGATGATGGCGAGTGTCGACTTGCCGGCGCCTCGAATGCCAGCAAGGACAATGGAGGCGTCGGCAGGGAATGGGGGTATCTCGTTCGGCAGGTGGGTGACTGGCGTCGCAGGCCTCGTTATTGGCGTCTCGGGTCTGGAGCACGCAGCCATGGAGTACCTGCTGCTGTTCGTCCTCGGGCTCTGAGGCTCTCTCGGTGTTGTACTGTAGCCATTGCGAGTGTCGACGCGAATGAACTTTGAGGGATTCTCCAGTTGGTGGTGGTGTTCGGCGTCCTCGTCGTCAATGGCCGTGGCCACGAAGGACCGCTTCACGCCTGCTGTCGCCATAGCTCCTCAGCCTCGACCTCGACTTGGCCGTGGCAGCAGTCGCAAGCTGGGTTGGTGAGAGAGCCCAGGATGCAAGCGCATAAGGCAAGGAAAGGCAGTGTCAAGTTGAGAGAGAGGGCGCGCAGGTGATTGAGTCTGTCTGGGCCAACAGGTTTCGTCCAGCGCCGCCTAACCGGGTGGTCTAACAAGGTCAAGCTCTCTCTCTGTCTGTCCGTCTCTCAGTCAGGAGGAGTCAGTCAAGTCGGTCCCGTCGAGTCGCGTCCAATGCCTACTAAGGCGGGCACAGAACTGTCAGGTGGGAGGACACATGGAATCCGCACCCCATTTCCGACGGTCGGTGCTGCGCTGGTGCCCCTCTCCCTTAGCTGCAACTTGGCGGCGGTACTCTGATAAACACTTACCCCTGGCTTTTCTGTTAGCAAGATACATTCTCCACCGAGCATGTCTCGTGTTCCGAATCCGCCGTCGCTGTTCAGCCCCTTGGTTTGACAACTCAACTCAGGGAAGTCCTAATTGTTGCTCAGTTCAAAGTTGAAGTGTCTAGACCAGTGAGAGCCCGCAGTGTAGGCAACACAACCTTGTTCATGGCAGACAGACCCCAGCTGGATGCGGTTGGTGCCCCAGAGACGCCTCCATCGACAAGGGTCTGTCTGTGTGAAGAGTCTGGAGAGCAGTCTGTGCATGTTCGCAACACCAAAAGTAGCGCACTAACACCCCGCAAACCGATTCATCCGTACACGGCCTTCTGCGGCCAATTAATGCCACTGGGATTCCAGCTGACCTTTGTCCTCGCCGCCCAAAGATCAGATCGAGCAAACAACCTTTGAGGCGGCGCCGCGACTGTCCGACGTGAGGTTACCCCAGGATTTCCCCACCTCCAGCGAGTTGCGCGGGAAATCTTGGAGAAGCAAAGACGTCAATCATCGCCGCTGTCGCTCCTCTGCCTGTTGACTGCTTGCTGCTGCTGCTGCTGCTGTTGCTGTCGCTATTGCTGTGCTGCTGCTGCTGCTCTGTTGCTTGCCGCTGCTACCCATCGTCACTCCCCCTGCAACATCCCGTCGCGATCCATCCGCCACAACTCTCGCTTCAACCATCATCCGCAGCGCGCCCTTACCCTTCCTCGCAGCTCTCGCCGACGCTCTCGCCGACGCTCTCGCTCTCGTTGCACACGCCCTCATGCTGTCCACAACGGCGTGAGCCACAGGAGCTGCTCTGCCGCCCGAGGCATCAATTGCAGGATGCCCTCCAAGAGAAAGGTTCACGATGCCGAGACCAATGCTACCTCGACGTCGGCCCCGAAGCGCCAGCGAGTTTCTCGAGCGTGCGACCAATGTAGAAGGCAAGCAACCTCGCATCCGTCCTTGTTTTCCGTTTCTTCTTCTTTCCGTCTGATTTCCATCATCTGTTTGCCTTCAACATCGGAAGCTTCCTGCAAGGGAGCCGTCCTCGCATGCTTGAGGATGTTTGGTGATCCAGGCTCGAAGAGCCTCATCATTGGCCCGAGTCAATTCTTGCGTCGTCAACAGCTTCATTTCCAGGGTGTTCCGACGTTTCTGGGAACCGTCTAGCTTTGTTTTTTTCAACGACAGTTCCGAGTTTTGTCTGATTTGGTCTTTGGTTTGCGCTGGCTTCAATGCTAAAATGCTAACTGACTTGCAGTGCCCGAGAGAAGTGTGACGGCGTTCAACCACAATGCTTCTCCTGCGTAACGCTATCGAGGCAATGCACGTACAACGTCGCTCCGAAGAAGCGCGGCGTACAGACCGGTCTTATTCGAACATTGGAGCTCGCCCTTGTCTGGCTGTTCGATCAGGTTCCTGGCACTGAAGAGAAGCTCTCAGAGTTGCTCGCCCGCGAAGGCGATAGCGGGCAAGCTCTGCTATTAGACAAAGACAACGAAGCCGGTAACCGTCTTCACAAGAGATGGAGGAGATGTCGAGTTCATAAAGACATCGACCGACTCCTATCCGGCAAGGACGGTGTAAGCCCGCGCCAAGACACCTCGGGAGACGAATCGGATGCGGATGCAGACGGCCGCAACAAACAGAAAGACGCCACTCCGCAAGAAGGTACTGCTGTGTCTCCAAAAACAAATGGACCCGAACGGGCATCGGACGCGACTCCGGGCGAACCGGGCCCAAGACATCGACACGGTTCTATATCTCGGCGAAGATTCAAACTCCCAAGAAACTTTCCGAGGCTGCTAGAAGTTTACTATTCTTATACTCACAGTTGGCTTCCAATACTAAACTCCAAAGAAGTCCTCGATAATGTTGCAGCCTCTTATCCACCCGATGGTTTTGATATCGACCCAGAAGACTCCGGCGCCAGCGCGGCTCACGCCGAATTATGGTGCGCCCTTGCCGTTGGGGCCTTCCAGGATGCGACATCATCCAATACTTCAGGACGGGCTGAGCCATCAGACCGTCCAAGCCTTATATTTGCAGCTGCACGAGGCTTGATACCTGTGGAAACAGACATGGGACTAGGTCATGTCAAAGCTCTACTGGTATTGTCTCTGGTAAAGTTGGGTCAAGACAATGCAGGTGCTGCCTCATTGCTTATTGGTCTCGCCGTTCGCGGTGCTATGGCACTCACGGACGGCAGGTCAAGGAATAGGGGCCGCAACTCTATATCTGGTCAGGCGGCACCTTTGACACCAGAAACAAACTCAACGGCGCTGGATCGAGTAATGATGGCATGTCTCATGCTTGACACCATAGTATCTCTGGGACTCGGCCAAACACCACACATGAGGACGAGCGATATGAAAGACAAGCCAACGGATGAAAACGGGCCGGAAGAATGGGCTCCTTGGGTGCCACGGACTGGATTCGGATCCGAGGAGGTTGACGGCGCTGTGCACGCTGCCCAGTCGCTGAGTTCTTTCAACCAGCTTTATCAGTTCTTCCGGACCCTGAATCAGAGCGTTGAGTCAGGAACTGCAGCACCGCAGATAGGTGCTGCGAACCTGGTGCAGGTGCTTGACCCCCGGTTCTCATTTTGCAACTCTGTTGTTTTTGGAGCGTCAACGATACCCAAACTGCCGTCCGCCTTTTTGATACAGGCTACTTTCCTCGGTGCCACGCTGACACTGATGCCCGACGCCCGGGTCTCGCTTATTTGGAGTCTGATGGAGGTTTTGGAAAATTCCATTGCCCAGTTTGGCGCAGCCGGCGTGTCGCCGCTTCTTGTCACTTACATGAGCATCGCTAATACCAAGAGTTGCGTGAAAGCTCTGCGAGACGATGACAAAGCCAGATGGAATACTCTGATGGGAGATTTGATATCTGTTTGGCAAGACCGGACGACCAACGCAGATTCGTCCGTGTTAGACGCTGAGCCTGGCGGCAAAACACCTATCCAGGCCGAACAGTCGGCTCCTCATTTCTCACAGCCCGCCGCCCGACAAAATCCACACTATTCTCAATTCCCAATGAACACGGATTCATACCACCAGAACGGCAGCGGGTTTCTACCAACTGCTTCGTCAGCTAGTCCTTCGACGGCGCGAACGATGCCATTTACCCCAGGAAGTCAGCTGGATGCATTTCCCCCGGGATTTATGGGGCATCTGCCTTCGGCTCAAACACCATACCTGATGGGACAAGGACCCCACGGCGTGGATTACGACGCCATTATGGATGAGTTGGCTTCTATAGACTGCACAGATAGCATGGAGGCAGACCCGCAGTTCATGGCCAATCTCGGCTTCGCCCCAGGCTCAGACTTGACAGACATGCTGCGGGGAGAATTTGGGGGGATGTGAGAAGAGTAATGTATTATGACTTTTTAGTAGAAAACGAACCCAATACTTATCACACACATCTGGAACTATCCTCGCCGTAACCTGTGCTCTTGTTTGACTGTCCCCTGTCATGCACGTCCATCGGTGTGAAAAGCCCCTGGTGATTGACATGTGTTCACCCTGTCCAAGGGTAGTGATTTGAGAAGAACGGAGTTGCTAGCCGTTTTGGTACTGTTTTCTGGAGAATCTGCAACAGGCTTATCTCTGTTCTGGCATCTTTCTGATCCAGCTGCGGCCGCTGCAATGTTAGTGTCTTCGGGATCTGTTTGCGAACCAAGCCCGCGGAAGAGCAATATGCGCAGGACGAGCGGAAGTACAATCACCAGGAGGTTAAGAGTCTGATGTCTCGGCAGTCAATCTATCGAGATTTGGACTGGCTGATGGAGCACGTGTCATAGATTGTGCACAGTAGTGTAATGTGCGCTACCAAGCAGGGACGATTCTGATGACACCGGCCCAGTGGTCACTACTACTCTAGCGACTGTCACGTCCCGACAGAACGGTTCAGGCAGAAAGACATTCATGGATGAAGACAGGAGAATAAAACTTCCTCTCGTACATGACCAAACTTTCAGCGTGATGTTGTTCGCCGCTTTGTGCGCTTACAACCACCGTATCAGGAGAGCCCCTTTCGATCCGACTAAAGTGGACTCCACGATGGCCTCGTCAAAGAGGCTTGGCCAGAACATTGCTAACGAGTTAGCAATCGAGTGATGGAGTCCGGAATTCTCGCCGGTCTTTTGCCAATGTTGAGAGCGGCGCAGCCATCTTGGTTTGTACGCGTTGGCCGGATATACTCAACTCCCCTCAGCTCGCACCGGCGGCCAACAACCCCTGTCTTGTTGACTCCGTGACCCCATGGGCAAAGCACGTCTGGCAGGTAGCAGCAGTCTGGGGTCGCTACCCCTTTGCCCGCATTGCTGACAATCCGGACGGCTGGAAATCAACAAGTTGGGAAGTCCCCAAGTTCCACGTGCAATGTGAGACAGTTGAATGGCAATGCGTCGCCGCTGACAGGATAAACATTCAACCCTTAGCCCCGGTCTGGGCAGGGGTTCTCCAGCATTTTGGGGGCCCCGAAGTTGGATCTAGCACGGAAACAGAGATTAGTGCCGTGGATCAGTGCGGAGAACAAATCCTTTGCCGTTCTCCACGCGCCGTGGAGACGAGTCAGTCGCCCAGGTGCAGATTCTGCTCCGGTTCGGAGCCACACGCAAAAACAGGAAGCGTGACTCCTTAGCTCAGGGAGAAGCGTTCACCCCAGAGTCAACCATCTGGAATCTCATACGCGAAGGCGTCGTCAGAGCCTATTACCCCGGATCCCATTGGCCTCCCCGTGTTTGCTGTGCGTTCCGTGGGATGAACAAACTCCGCATCGAAGCAGCCCCAGACTTTTTCCCCAGACGAACCGACACGCCACACACCTGTCACTCTTTACCAACGCAGAGGAACGAACCATACATATAACAAAGGCGACCCTTGACCACCATCTGGTTCTGGCCTCCTCATCCCCTTAAGACTTCTCTACCCCAACCGTGCTTTGGAGTTCAGACTGTCTCAAGGCCCAAGCAACCAGACAACATCATCTGAAGACAGAGTAAAGCAGCAGCACGCACGACCATCAGTCACCATGGCTCTTCTCACCCTCGTCGAGGATCGGCCGACGCCCAAGGCCGTCTACAACTGGCGCGTCTACATGTGCGCCATCATCGCGTCGTTCGCCAGTTGCACCATTGGCTACGACTCTGCCTTCATCGGAACCACTCTCGCCCTGCAGTCCTTCACCGAGGAGTTCCAGTTCGCGTCCTACAGCAAGAGCGGATTGGCTCTGTTGAAGTCCAACATTGTGTCTGTCTACCAGGCCGGTGCCTTCTTTGGCTCCTTGTTCGCCTACGTCAGCAGTTACTTCCTCGGCCGCAAGAAGAGTTTGATCGCTTTCAGTCTCGTCTTCATGCTCGGTGCCGGTATGATGCTCGGCGCCAACAGGGAGCGCGGCCTCGGTCTCATTCTCGCCGGCAGAGTCCTCGCTGGTATCGGTGTGGGTGGCTGCTCCAACATGACCCCCATCTACATTTCCGAGCTTTCCCCGCCTGCCGTTCGCGGTCGCCTCGTCGGCATCTACGAGCTGGGCTGGCAAATTGGTGGCCTTGTTGGTTTCTGGATCAACTACGGTGTCGACTCTACCATGGCCCCCAGCCACTCCCAATGGCTCATTCCCTTTGCCGTTCAGCTGATTCCTGCTGGTCTGCTGCTTGTCGGAGCCTTCTGGCTTCCTGAATCTCCTCGTTGGTTGTTCTCCAAGTACAGGAGAGAGGAGGCAATGAAGCATCTTTGCTGGATGAGGTGAATTTTGAGCAAATACCATTTCTTGGTGATGGTTTGGATGTGAGCTAATCGTCGACATTTCACAGAAACCTGGATGCCAGCGACAAGTACATCATCGAGGAGGTCAACTACATCGATGCCGACCTCGAGAGATACAGGACCGAAGTTGGCGCCGGATTCTGGAAGCCCTTTGCCGCTCTCAAGCAGAGCAAGGTCCAGTGGCGCTTCTTCCTTGGTGGCATGGTGAGCGCACTCCTTTCAGATTACCAACACTCGTTGCTAACCCCGAGAAGCTTTTCCTCTGGCAAAACGGTTCCGGCATCAACGCCATCAACTACTACAGCCCGACCGTTTTCAAGAGCATCGGTATCACCGGCACCAACACCAGTTTCCTCACCACTGGTATCTTTGGCGTCGTCAAGACTATTGTGACTTTCGTGTGGATTCTTTGGCTCATTGACCAGCTTGGTCGCCGTAACCTCCTCATGATTGGTGCCATCGGTGGATCGCTCTGCATGTGGTACATTGGAGGTTACCTCGCTCTCAACCCTGCCAGTGGCACCGGCGGTCTTTCCGGCGGAGGCATCTCTGCCATGGTCTTCTTCTACCTGTGGACGGTGTTCTACACTCCTTCGTGGAACGGTACCCCCTGGGTCATCAACTCCGAGATGTTCGACCAGAACACCAGGTACGTGTGGAGAGAAACGAGTCAGTAAACGAACACGTGAGCTAACCATACCTGTAGATCTCTTGGCCAGGCTAGCGCTGCCGCCAACAACTGGTTCTGGAACTTCATCATTTCTCGCTTCACCCCCCAGATGTTCGACGCCTGGGGTTATGGAGTGTACTTCTTCTTCGCCTCTCTCATGATCATGTCCGCCGTCTTTGTGTTCTTCCTCGTGCCCGAGACTAAGGCTGTCCCTCTGGAGACTATGGACCGTCTGTTCAAGGTCAAGCCCGTGTGGCGCGCAAACAAGACCATTATGGATGAGTTGGCGGAGGACCAGAGCTTTAGACAGAACGACTCGGATGACGTTGTTCTTGGCGAGAAGTCGGACGAGGGCGAAGTCAGCCAGGTAGAGCGAAAGGCCAGCGTTTAACGGTTCGGGACAACGGTTTACTAATACGGAATTAAGGGCGTTTAAATGGGTAGCAGGCGGATATTCCCAAGATTTCGAGTATCTCAAGGAATTCACAATCCTCTCTAACCCAAATCGAGCAAAACCGAGTGATGTGCACCGTCTTGCACCCTGTCCGCACGAGCCGGCAGGTCGAGAAGTAAAGCGTAACGGAAACGGCGTAAACGATAAAGACGTAGACGATTGGCGTAATCGAGGAACGTAAACGACAGGCGTAAACGGAACGGAGGTGATACCCGAAGTAGAGGAGGATTATCGACGCGTGATGGCGAGGCAAAGGCCGGGGGAGGCACTATGCATGAAGTGGGCTCAACGCAACCAGGGGCAAGGTACGTGGTGGTTATGTCTTTTCCCTCCCATACCCGTGTTGGTGGTAGACGAGATGTAGCCTCAGGGTTACATGCTCTGCGAGTACATGTCAATAGCACACTGTCAGCGGCTCAGCCGCCGCAAGCACACATGAAGTGTCCACAGAGATATCCCCGTATTGCATGGTGCAAGTGACCATCCGCCGCTGTTCCGCAGGCATCCCAAGACATGGCATCCCAGAAGATACGCGGAGTTACCCAGCATCTCCCACGTCCACTGAGTGCAATCTTGTCATGTGGACATACCTGGAACAAAGTTCAACAGACCAGCAACCGCAAATCGAACCGTCCGTATCATACAGAGAGTCCTTCCAGCCAAGAGCGAGGAGGTCAAGCCAAGACGCCAAGTCGATGAACCTCTAGCCTGATTTGTAAATAACCCGACTCAAGCACTGGCGCCGTGGATGTGATCTTGGTGGTGTGGCAAGAATCCTCCGGATGTAGGATGACGTCGAAACAGAGCAAACAAAACGTACAGATGGCGCATCTCAAGCAAAACAGCATCCAAGAGCCGCAAATGTGAAAATGCCAGCCTGCTGCCGTTATATAACAGATCTATCGAGTTTCGTCCCGTCTGCGAGATGGAGAGTTTCCACAGTTTGTCGTGCGATCCCGTATGATTCCCGTGCGATTTTCGTCGAGGCGAGGCGGCGCTTGAGTCTTTTTCCGGGCGCGTGGGAAACATTCACCCGCTCAACCACCAGCCAAACGAAATCTGGGACCGGCCCAAACAATCGACGGACAGAGTCCGAGTTATTCAAGATTATGCAGGATTGTTTGAAAAAGTGCAATGCATGAGCTGGAAATGAGTCTTATTTCCGTCGTTTGGTTTGTGTGAAGTTTGCATGAGACGCGCGCAACCCACGCGCAACCACAGCACAACTCGCATCACGGCGTTAAATGAGGCTCAATTGTCCGTTTTTGATCTGATGCACAACTTTGCATTCTCTTGGACTGCTCGCGTCTGATGAATGTTCCGTTGATCTGCAGGTTGCAGTGAGAACACGGAAAGACGGCACTCCAAAACCGTCTAGCTCGCCCCAATATTTGAAGATATCGATGGTTCTGGAGCCGCATACGTTGCAGTTGGACCGCTATCACATCGCAATCTCGTCTGTCTGTGTCTTGAAGTGGGCTCATGGCCGGAGAAGTCTTCATCATGTTAAGCTGTTGATGCAAGCGAAAGAACTGCGTCTCATGAGGCTCATGGTAGCAGAGTTAAAAGTAATTCCTGGTGATGTTACTGGACCGTTCTGGTAAGGAAGTGCATCAGTTTTGATGCGTGTGTGCAGGTCGAGATGTTTCTTCAGTTCCAGCTATATAAATATGTTTTCACATATGCAAGGTTCGATCGACTCCAATGACTGACATGGAAGAAGGCTTGTCTGGGATCCTCACTTAGGAAGCCTCGGTCAACATGCATAATTGCAATCACCAAGTGGACGTCACCTGTGTGAATGCATGTATGGAATAAATCTACAAGCAGCAGGAATGAGATTGGCTTTTGAGACACGAGCGGATACCCCAAAGGAAACTCAAGACTTCATCATTACTGGGTGACTGGATAGAAGGGCCTGGCAAGCTGGGCAACTGGGCTAACCCGAGGATCTTCAGTCATGTAGATGACCATCACACTTAGATGAACATGGAAACATAGAGTCATTGCCAAATGATGGAATATCATAATTCGTCTTGTTAAAACAGTCGCTATGAATGTATCTATGCAAGTCGTTCCAATTTTTCATTATTTTTTACAGTTTTGAGTGTTGCGCCAGCTTGGCGGCAATCACTTCCTTGACTTTTTGTACGGGAAGGTCCTGAACCTCCTTGCCGGTCCAGTAACGGTCCTGTTCAGCAGTCAGTAAACTTCACTAGAGATGAGAGATGGGGAACAACTGACCTGCTCGAGACCTTGGTAGATCATGGCCTCAGTGCCGAGAATGACCTGCCAGCCGGCGTCTTCGGCCAGGGCACCAATCTCAGTAAAGGGGGTGGGGTTGTAGCACATCTCAAGAATGGCACCCTTGGTAGGCTTGTTAAAGAACTCAACGATAACCTCGCGGGCGACAATCTCCTCGGGGGTCTTGGGAGGGAAGTCGGGGATGCAGGAGACGATAGCGCCGGGGGCGTCAAGCTCCCTCGCCTCCTCGACGGTGGATACGTGGTACAGGTTGTCTCCATAGCCCCGCGTGGTGCACTCGGCGATAACGGCGTCGACCTCAGCCTTGTCACGGTTGACGAGGTAGATGTCGGTGGCCTTCATCCACTTACGCAAGGCGTAGACGGCGCTGCGGGCAGCACCGCCGCCGCCGATGACCAGGGCGGGCTTGTTGTGGTAGACGGCATCCGGGTCGGCGACGTTCTGAACGAAGGACTCGCGAACGCCAATGACATCGGTGTTGGTGCCGCAGTATATCCGCTTGCCGTCGCGCTCGCGGATGAAGAGGGTGTTGCAGGCGCCGACGTCGCGGCACTCATCCGTCAGCTCGTCGAGGTGAGGGATGATGGCGACCTTGTTGGGCATGGTGACGGAGCTGCCGTAGAACTTGGGGTGCTTGATGAGCTCGAGGAACAGCGGCAGGTCTGCCGAGTCCAGACGCATCTGCTCCCATTTCAGGCCGATTCCCTCGTAGATGGTGCTGTGCAGGAGTGGTGACAGGGAATGTGTGATCTTCTGGCCAAAGAGGTAGCCGTGGCGGTCAAGCTGCTCAATCTTGGTAGCGATGGTGTCGTCCACCAATTTTTCTGTGACGGCGGGGCTGGCCATTTTGGCTATGTGTGTGTTGTGGATGAGAACTAAAGAAGAAAAAAGACAAGGGGTATCTCTGGTTGTGTTGTGATGATGAAAGTCTGAGTGACGGAGTGACTGAGTGACAGGCCGTGTAAGACGAGGAAAAAGGCGATAATTGTATGTGAAATATGTGTCAAGCAAGGAATTGGAAACGGATATTCTTTGAGTGGCTATTATGAGAACTTCAGATTTGGAGAAGACGATCTGGAGGCCACTTTTTGTTCTTGGGTTGCGTCTCTTTTCTCTGCCGGCCAGGTGATGAGGTCCAATAATAATTAATTGTTCTTGCGGGACACGGGGAAAAGTCCGGGGCTCTGGATGGGGTTGATCGGACTGCGGTTCAAAACTCCATCAGGGCTAAGGATTCATGGATCGGAAACTCGCAGTTTCAACGAGGGACTTGTTGTGTGTGCGAGGTTCCTCCACTCACTCCACGCTCCCGGCAAAGAACTCTCCAGAGACCGACCACCTCAGGTACCTTACTGAGGAGAAACCCCGAATGAGTGAGAGAGTGAGGGAGGGAGTGAGAGCCAGTGAGAAGTGCCGAACAATCTAGGCCTCGGAAGCGTGGGAAAACGACGCCAGAGGCAACGAAGAAAGGGAGCGATTGAGAGTGAGTGAGAAAGCGGTCATTCGCTCGCTCGGTGGCCGCCCACCCTTCCGTGGCGAAGCTGAAGAATGTTTATCCTTCATTCTCAGTGAAGAAAGTGAGTGAAGAAGTGAAAAAGTGGAGGCGGGCCCCCAGGGGAAGCGTTTAGCCTGACAGCCCGGCGGCACTCGGCGAGCTGTCGTCACCAGCTGCCAAGCAGCGCAACACCACCGGTCTTGGTGATGGGCGGCGTCACGCATCTCTTACAAGTTGCAACACCACACACACTCGCGGGGTGCATTGGCACATGGGAAAGCTGCCCCCAGAGTGGACCGGCTACCTTCGGCCACCCCCAGAGTTTCCAGATCGCCGTGCTCTGCAAGCATGCGATGGCTGATAAGATGGGGTACTCTGCATTCGCAAAGTACCTTGTACCGGTGGCGGGTGAATGACTTTCCTGCCCCAAGTCCACTCGGATACCCGGTGCAATCCGGGGATGAAGGGGCCCGTATGAGACCATTGGACAGTCTTCCTGTTGTTCTGCAACACGGGCTGCTGCTGTCGTGCGTTACTCGATGATTCGATTTGCAAGCTGCAAATAATCTTCCCTGATCCCCTGCTGCCGAGGACTAACACATACGAGCGAGCTTCCCTTCGACTACTTCCCTCCACTCCCCTCTCCTACCTACCCCGTCGACTCCCACTCACATACATACTACTTCTTATCTCGTCCGCCTACCTAGGTACTCGCAGACGCCAGCCTCTTTCATCATCCTCTCGAAAGCATCCTACTATTATTTCCTTCACCTTTGCTTCTGTGCTACTCTGCGTTTGATACCCTTTGACTTCTGCCGTCACCTCATATACACCCATTCACACCACACATCACATATTCCGCCCACCATGCCTTCACGCCTGGGTATCAGCACCATGTCGCTCGGCCGATGCTGGGCTGGACACTCCTTTGAGCACAAGATGGACATGGCAGCAAAGTACGGCTACCAAGGCATCGAGCTCTGGCACGAGGACCTCATGGACGTCGCCGAGCAGCTGCCTGGCGGTGCCGCCCTCCTCGAGAACCAGATCGCCGCCTCCAAGATTGTCAAGAGGATGTGCGACGTCCGCAACATCGAGGTCATCTGCCTCCAGCCTTTCCAGCACTTTGAGGGCCTCGTCGACCGCGAACAACACGCCCGCAGGGTCGAGGAGCTGCGCGTGTGGATCCAGCTCGCCCACGTCCTGGGCACCGACCTCATCCAGATTCCCAGCAACGTCCTGCCCGCCGAACAGGTCTCTGAGGATCTCGAGCTTCACATCGCGGACCTCGCTGAGGTTGCCGACATCGGTGCCGCCTCCAACCCGCCCATCCGCTTCTCATATGAGAGCCTGTCGTGGGGCACCAGAGTCGACGTATGGGAGACGTGCTGGGAGGTCATCCAGCGGGTCGACAGGCCCAACTTCGGAATGTGCCTCGACACCTTCAACATTGCCGGCCGCATCTTTGCCGACCCCTGCGCCGCCTCGGGCAGGACAGAAGACGCCGAGCAGGCGGTCAAGGACTCCATCCAGAGGCTCCTCACGACCGTGGACGTCTCCAAAATCATCTACGTGCAGGTCGTCGACGCCGAGCGCCTCGCCGAGCCGCTATGCCCGACTCACCCTTATTATAATGCCGAGCAGCCGTCCCGCATGTCCTGGTCAAGAAACTGCCGTCTGTTTTACGGCGAGTATTCAAGGGGAGCGTATCTCCCCGTCCGCGAGATCTGCGCGGCCATCTTCCAGGGCCTGGGTTTCGAGGGGTGGGTCAGCTTCGAGCTGTTCAACAGGAGGATGTCGGAGGAGGACCACGACGTACCCGAGGAGCTGGCCAAGAGAGGAGCCGTGGCCTGGAGCAAGCTGGTAAGGGATATGAAGCTGAGAGTGGAAGAGCCTTCGACGGCCGTGACGGCGTCGCTTTAGAGTTGGAGTCCCTTACATGATGGTCATGACATACACATTTGCATAAGATTGCAACAGCGATTGTACAGTATTTACATGTTTTATTCTTTCACTTTTGTGGACAGGAGGGGATCAATTAATCCATCCTATTCAAGCCTTCTGCTTAATCTTCATGTGCTTCGCTGCAAACTCGATGGCCGCCGTGTACCCGTAGACGCCCAACCCGCAGATGACGGCGGTCGCCTTGTCGCTCAAGTAGCTGTGGTGTCTGAAGGCTTCCCTCGTGTGGACGTTGGAGATGTGGCACTCGACGAAGGGGATATCGACGCCGAGGAGAGCATCGCGGATGGCGACGCTCGTGTGTGTGTAGGCGCCGGGGTTGATGACGATGGCGTCGATGTTGCCCCTGGCCTCGTGGATGCGGTCGACGATGGCGCCCTCGTGGTTGGACTGGAAGTTCTCGACTTTGATGCCCAGGTCAGAGGCCTGCTTCTCGGCCATGGAGACGACGTCGGCGAGGGTCGTTGAGCCGTAGACGGCGGGTTCACGGGTGCCCAGGAGGTTCAGGTTGGGACCGTTGATGAGTAGGATGCGGCTGGCCATTGTGAAGGATGGAGATGTAGGTAGGATCTGGGGACGGCTGTGATTGTTCGCAATGATGGATGTTGATACAATTGATCGAGCAAGCTTCACGACTTCAGACGGCGAGGCTATTGTGATTGATAAATGAGTTGATTCGTGTCAGTGGATAAGTCTTGATCCGTGTTTCGTCAAGAATGCTCTGCCGGCATCGCAGACAGTTGGCTTGGCTGGAGATGTTGGTGAGGGACCGAACCGCGGGGAAACTAGAGCTGCCCCGGATTTCGAGCCTCTCACGTAACAGGCATAAGTCAACAGCCTCTCCCACACGGCTCCTTCGGGGTTGCAGTTCGTCCTGGAGTACTGAGGTGAGTGGCTTGGCCTCCCTCTTCCCCAGGTCTTGGTGTGTGGTGTGTGGTGTATGAGAGATGAGGGGCAGAGGTGGAGGGAGGGGTGACGGCGACAGGGACCAAGTCTCCGACACAGCTCCTGACTCGGAGGCCCACAGCGCGTTGCTACCGGGCCTTTTGGGGGCTCTTCGGCAAGCTACCCGCTAAAAGGAGCCCTTGGAGAGCACTCACAGGCGCTCACTCACTGGGTGGTCCAGCGTGAGGCGGGGCAGATGCGGGGATGCCCCGCTGATAGGGACCACGGCGACCTGATAACAGCGCGGGACGTCATCCCGCTGTGCTTCCGCGGTCTCCAGCACTCGGCTGGCGGCGGCCCAGCCTGCAGCACGCCGTCGAGTCACCCAATTTCTGACTGATGGCCTGCTGTCGCGTTAGGTTGCCAGTGGTGTGTGTGCTGCTTACTGTTGCTGGTTTGCAGTTTCAACTTACCTTACTCTGTCTTTTGCGACTCGTTGTCCTTTCTTCTCAACTTGCCAAATACTGTGACAATTCTTCAGGGCCGCTTTATTTGGAAACGACACAATGGCGGGCATCAGCGACGCCGAACTTCGCGAAATCTACGACTTTGCCGTGCAATTGGGCAAAGATGCGGGCGCTATGCTCATGACGGCGGCGCGGTCGAGGTTCGACGGCGGCGATGCGCAGGTCTTCACCGAGAAGGAGAACTCAGTCGACCTGGTCACCAAGACCGACACAGGTGCGGAAATACTCTAGTGTTCATGAACATCACCTTGCGATGAGTTGCTGACGGAATTGGCGCCACTGCAGAAGTCGAAGCCTTCATCCACACATCGGTCGCAAACAAGTACCCCAACCACAAGTGAGTCAACTTGTGATGATGGCCAGCCACCCAGCCTCTCACCACGATTCTCACACATCTGGCAGGTTCATTGGCGAAGAGACATACTCGGCCGGCTCCTCCCGCGACTACCTTGTCGACGACAGCCCAACCTGGATCGTCGACCCCCTCGACGGCACCGTCAACTTCACCCACCTGTTCCCCATGTTTTGCGTCTCCATCGGCTTCGCCGTGAAGGGAAAGCCCATCATCGGCGTCATCAATGCGCCCTTCCTGAACCAGACCTTCTCCTCGCTCAAGGGCCACGGCGCATGGATGAACGAGACCCAGAAGCTGCCCTTGGTCCCGAGCCCCTTGCCAGCCAATGCACCCAGCGGCTGCGTGTTTTCCTGTGAATGGGGCAAGGACCGCCGCGACAAGCCGGATGGGAATATGCACCGCAAGGTCGAGAGCTTCGTAAACATGGCGGCCGAGAGGGGCGGGAGAGGTGGCAAGGGCGGCATGGTTCACGGTATGAGAAGTCTGGGAAGGTAAGAGCTGCAGCGTCCTCGGGATGGGGACCTTACGCTGACGAGAACAGTGCCACTTTGGACCTCGCCTATACCGCCATGGGATCTTTCGATATTTGGTGGGAGGGCGGTTGCTGGGAGTGGTATGTCAAAGACCTTGGACGTTGATGTTATAATGCCGGCGCTGACAGTTTTGCCTCAGGGATGTGGCTGCAGGAATTGCAATTCTCGAAGAGGCTGGTGGTCTCGTGACCATCGCTAACCCACCAGAAGATACCTCCGTCGTTCCAGATGCCAAACTGGGTGGCAGATCGTATCTAGCAATCCGGTGAGTCGGCCTTAAACAAACAGGAGAATGGTTGAGGCTAATGTGAACCAGTCCCGCAGCATCCACTGAGACCGAGACCGCCCGACACGCACAAGAGAGAGTGGTGAGAGAGACATGGAAGAGAGTTAGACAGCTCGACTACTCCCGGCCCGGCGCATAAGACGACCATCTAGACAAAGACTAGACATGACTTCAATATATATAATTGCATAAAGTTTACCGTTGGACGAATCCATCAAGCGATTTCTGCACCGGACAACTGGTTCGGATTAAAAGAGAAGGCGACAGTAGCTTCGTGGAGGATGAGAGCTCCGAAGAGACGGAGACGTAATGAGTCGTGGGAGGGTAGAGATGATACAAGAAAAAATACCGAACAACATTACCGAGGCAACTAGTCAGACTGAGTTACCTATGATCCGGAAGTGAAGACGCCGTGATCATGCCACTCGACAACGTAGCCAAAATGGAGAAGAGAAAGACAGCCGACCACTGCAATAAGAATGGCACATAACCCAAGAAGACAGCAAATCTATATCTCTGATCAGATCATGGAGCGGCATTTACTCGGCTAGCTACTTCATCATCTAGAGATCCGTCTTGGCTTGCTCACCCGCCCACGCCCTCCGGATGATCTCCCGGATCTTTTCCTTCTCGAGCGGGCGCGGGTTCCAGTAAGGCGTGTCCGACGCAACGTCCGTGACCCGGCCAATGTCCTTCTCCTGCATACCCACGTCCTTGAGCCCTGTCGGAATATCCAGAAGTCGGAGCAGCTCGTTCAAACCTTGCACAACGCCGGCGGCAGAACTCTCCGTGCTCTGAGCAAGGGCCGACGATAGCTTGGCGATGATGCTCTCAGAGAAGCAGCTCGCGTTGTATGCCATGCTGTGCGGGAGGAAAATGGAATGCGTCTCGGCGTGGGGCAGGTTGAGAGTGCCACCGGCGGCGTGGGCGAGTTTGTGCTGGAGCGCGATGCCGGTCGCCGTGGCCAGGAACCCGGCCAGGAATGCACCGTACAGCGCCGACGTGCGGGCTTCCACCGATGACGGGTCCGTGGCAATCACGGGAAGAGCGCTGGACAACGCCTTGATGGACTCGAGGGCAAAGTGATCCGTGATCGGGCTGGCTTGACGGGAGTAGAGTGCTTCGACTGCGTCTCATCAGCGACGTACCTACATCGAAGACCTGAATACTCACATGAGTGTGCCATGGCATTGAGACCACTCGGCCCGCTGACTTTGACCGGCAGGTCCATGGTCAGGTCCACATCGTATATGACCACCTTGGGCAGGATCTTGGGATCCGTGTACGACGTCTTCTTGCCGTCCTTGGTCTCTCCGATGATCGGCGTCATCTCCGAGCCCGAATAGGTCGTCGGGATGGCGACCTGCGCCATCCCCGTGCGGTAGGCGATGGCTTTCCCGAGACCGACGGCGCTCCCGCCTCCGACGGAGATGAGGACATCTCGGCCCTTGGCGCGGTCCACGGCGGGCCCGATGATGTCGCTCGGGTTGTGGACGATGGCGGTGTCGAGGATCTCGCTATCCGTGATACCTGCTTCCGACAGCTTCGCTTGTATCTTGGTCGCCAGCGATGTCCGAGAGGGCGAGCATATGATAAGCGGCTTCGCGAGGTTTCGAGACTTGAGCTCGCCGGGTAGCTCGTTCAACGTGCCGGGTCCGAAGAAGACCTTTGGCGTGGTGATGCCGAAGACGAATGGTGAGATTGGATCCATGTCTTTGTTTGAGTCAGGGTGTAAGCCACGATCAGAGCTTGTCATGAACGACATGCAGAGCTGCAAGTTGAGGCCGAGACGACATTGATAAGTTGCCAGTGAGTCGTCATCGGCGGGGAGCGGGGTCCGACCGCTGCGGAGGTTTCTCAAGCCCCGGGGCCGGCGTCGAAGATCGGCAGTCGACATCGGCCGGAATGTGGATGTGTGCTGGAACTCAAAATGTGACCTACAAGTCCTCCTCTCTTTCCATGCAACGCCACAATTGTACAACGAGAGTTGAATCAGTTCCATTGGTTGCCTATCTCTATTTAGATGGCCCTGGAGGAGGGGTATCATTATTTTATATCGATTTAATCCAAGCCATCAAATCCCAAAATGCCGTGCGCACCCATGGGGCCAAGCTTAGCAGCCGCGGCGGCCGCTCCCGTGTTCTGGCGCTTGCTCTGCCTCTTTCCACCGTCGCTGTCGCTGTCACTATCGTCGCTGTCGCTGCCAGCGCGTCGCTTGCCAGTCGCACCATCCTCGTCGTCGCTGTCGTCATCGCTGTCCTCGTCCTCATCGTCGCCCTCTCCTTGAAGCTCTGACAGCTCCTCCCACACCTTGACAGTCTTGCCGCCGGCCGTGATCAGCCGGTTCTCGGAGTCGAAGGCGACGGAGATGACACCCTCGACGTCGTCGTGGCGGAGGTTGACGACCTGGTCGACGTCCCGGGTGACCAGGTCTACCACCCTCAAGCTGCCGTCGCCGAGACCGACGACCAGCTTCTTACCCAAACCGAGCTCCTGAGGCACCAGCGCCAGAGCGTCCAGACTCTCGCCCCCGGACTTGCCACCATCGACGATGATGCGCTCCTGCTGGTCATCCCAAGCACCTCTGTCCCAGACCGTAACCACGCCAGAGGCGGATCCGACAGCCACTACGCCGTTGTTGCGGTTGTTCTTGGGCCCGAGACCAGGGACGTAGCATGCTGACAGCAGCTCGTCCTCTTGGTCGTCGGAGCGAACGAGAACGCCCTTGCGGACATCCGTCACCGCGAGGGTAGTGCCACCAGTCGAAACCCATTGCTTCGGAAAACCAGATGTGCTCTCGGCGGAAGGGGGGAGGGGAACGACGGCGGAGACGTAGTCGGAGTGAGGGAAGTTGGTCTGAGCAGGCTTGGACGCGGGGGCACCGTCGCGAAGGTCGAAAATGTGCATCGCGCCGGAGTCGCAGCCGATCAGGAGACTCTGGGGGTTCAGGACGTGCA